CCCTATTATGCTCTGAGGTCCCTCATATTTGTATCCCAAATGTCTAGCATAAAGTTTGTCATACTTCAAACATTTAATCAGCTCCCTTTAAGGTAGATTAATGAAGGAATGAACACAGTAAGAGACACATTATAAACCCTCATTATCTCTTTCTAGGGAGAAGTGGATTCATAAAATTAGGCACAGAGTATACCCCATCCTTTCATGTGGCTTCATCTTATTATAGAACACTGTCAAATGCACTCTGTGCCTGACAGAGGGTGCATTAGAGTAAATATTTCTTACATGGGCCAGCTAGTTAGAAAAATACCTAGTTGGTGAAGGAGTTGCTTAAACTGTAGCAAAACCCTCATGACCATTTATTGCTCAGAAGAGATTAACTGCTTTTCTTAGCATATGTGTAAACTCCCTTTAGTGCCAGCTGGACTCATTTCAAGTTTTATTTTGGCAGGGCTTAAACTAACAGGCAGCAAAAACTGCATTTGTTTATTAAGGAGTTAACAGCGTAACTCCTTAAATAACTATGTTACATAATATGTATCTCCAAATCACTGGGCTCGATTAATTCTCATCATTCACTCATAAGCCAGACACGCTACCTCTCTCTAAGGTATCTGAAAGAGAGGAAGACCATCTGCCACAATCCCTTTCTTAAATTCTTGATTCACCTACCGAGACTGCAGGGCTCTCAGAGGATATAGCATCATACTCAAGGCATGGGAGGGGCTAAACAGTTCAAAATCAACTTCATTTGTTGTGGGGTCCAGGGGTGTGGTGGTGAGAAAGATCAGAGGCAGCAATCTGACACATGCAGAGGCGCTCCTGGACTCACTGTAGCTTTTGCATTTTTAAATTCTGGTATTTCGTGTTCTACTTTAAGGTCTTGGTATGGTAGAAAGAACTTAGGCCTAGGTGCAACAGAAAGAATATAGGACTAAGAATCCAAAACTGTGGATTCTAGTCTCAGGTCTGCCAACAACCGTGCCAGGTAAACCCGACCAGATACTTAACCTTTCCAGGTCTCAGTTCACACTTCTGTAAAGTGAACACACTTATAGTTCCATTCAGCATTCAGAGTATAACAACTCCATGCCTTATTGTTACAGAACTCCAGACTCTTTTGAGCCTTTGTCTTTAGCCACAGACAATTTAATTATCAATTGGTATAGCAATGATAAATCAATCTGGATGACTGTTTTTCCCAATTATCTCTAGCCTTGCACTTCCTGTTGACTTTGGACAAAGGAATTACCTTCCTCAGCCTTGTGGCCGCATTTTGGCCTAGACACTGGGTTAAGGAGATTCAAGTGCTATGACATCCCTTTGGAGGCTGATTGTGGTGGTCATGTTGCTCCTTCCAAAATATTCTAAGTGTAAATTCGGTAACGTCAAAGTAGTCTCCAGGAAATTTAGATTACCCTTATATTGGAAGACGTCTTTTTCATGGATATAAAAACACTCAATTATTCTGCAATTAAAAGAAATACTTTTTTTTTTTGTAATAACCTGGCTTAGTAATCTCAAACTTCTGCCAATTCCACTTGTTTAATACTCCTCCATCTGTGGTCATAGAGGTTTTAAGGATGCACCCTGTTTGGCATAGTAAAGGAGATGGAAACCAGCATTTCTAGAGCATTTCTTGGGACTGATTCCAACCTGCATCTACAGACCACACCACAGAAGGGTGAGAGGCCCATTTTTGCCCCTCTCCCATTTCCACTACATGCCTTTTACAGCAGCCCTGAGTGGGCTGAGGATTCTGCTCTGAGAACTCCTTGAAGCTCATTTCCCTAGAAAAGACTACCAGGAAGTCTGACAACTTTGCGAACAGAGAGGTGACCTGTGAGCTTAGTTAAGAGAAGAGGTGACAGGAGCAAGGCCATGGGCTTTAATTCTATAAGGCCAGTTCAAGTTGCTTTGTTTCCTGATGGGAGTCTGATGCTCCATCTCATAATTGTGTGCCAAGGCTCTCAATGGGAAGTAGGATATAGGATGATCTGCATGAAATTTGTGCCACTGTGTGAGGGGCTAAAACAGTATCTTTGAATGCATAGGCATTTTCCATTTAATCTGCATAACACATCTGTGAGGTAGAGTTATTATGTCTATTAGAAAAGGAAACTGAGGCTCAGATAGTTTTAAATGACTTGTCCAATGTAGCAAGGAATGAAATCCAGGTATCCTCTGAATTCCAACTCTATTTTTCCATGGCACCATGCAATTTCCCAAAATGTCTGTCTTGATTCAAAAGGGCTAATGTTATTATTTTTTTTTTAGGTCAGATTCAGAGTTTCACTCTGTCATCCAGGCTGGAGTGCCATGGCACGACCACAGCTCACTGCAAATTCAAACTCCTGGGCTTAACCAATCCTTCCATCTCAGCCTCCCATATAGCTGGGACTACAGGTATACACAACCACACCCAGCTAAGTTAAAAAAAAATTTTTTTTGTAGAGATGGAATCATGCTGTGTTGCCCAGGTTTGTCTCTGACTCCTGGCCTCAAGCGATCCTCCTGTCTCAGCCTCCCAAAGTGTTGGGATTACTAGCAGGAGCCATTGTGTCCAGTGGTTCATTTCTTTTTGTATGAGCAAAAGATGATCAAAAAGTGTCCAGCAGTTGAGAACAAAGAGAAATGACAGAAGAGAGTGCTGCGTGAAAACTGAGTATCAGCCCTTAAATTTTATTTTAGTCTGGTTTAAAAATATATTTAATTTTATTCAGAAGATAGAAATAGGCAAGTTTGAAGTTGAGTTAACTTTTCTCCTGAATATGATTCTCAGCAAATGAGTGGTAAATTCCCTCTCCTAATAATACTTTGAAAGAACTGGGAGGGTCTAATCTGACTACTCTGAATGTGTCATTCTGAAACTGGCTGTCTGTCTCAGTGGTTGGTGCATTAGAGCCAGCTCACACAGATTTTGGCTATGGGGAGCTCTGGCTCTTGGAGATCTTTTCCCATCTCAGCATTCAGTGATTCTGCAGTGGCAGCTTGAAACTGACCTTAGTGAGAGCATTTACCCCCAGAAATCAGTGAACTATACAAACCATCTCCCTCCCATTTTATTTTTTCCCTACTGGAGAGGTGACAATTAAACATTTACCCTTATAGTTTCAACTATCATTCTTAATCATAGATATCTGCTAATCAAAGCTGACAGCATTTCCAGATCAGGCTGGTTTTCCCAGGACTGTGACCTTGTAACATGACATCAGAATGACTGAAAACTGGCACAAGGATATAATGTGCAAAATATCTCAGAGTATTAACCCACTTTGAGCAAGTGTATCCTATACTTTTCAGGGCTTCCTGGAAACTTGAAAGAGAACTTCTATAAACTACTCCCAGTATCCTCAGAAGTCAAGAATAATTATTTACTTGAGAATGTTGAATAGAACAAGAGAAAAGGGGAAGGGAAGACACGTATATTAAAATGTCTTCAAAAATATCTTTAATATTTTATGTCAAATTTCACTGTAGGTAATTGTTTGTATTAAAAAAAAAAAGTAGGTCACAAGCTAATATGTCAAAGGAACAGGGAACTTTAATAGATGTACTAACATTAGGAAACGTGTGGCAAGACACTGATCTGGTCAAATCTTCAGAACTCCCCAAGGCTATCTCTCTGGACTACTATGTTTCATCTCGAAAAACATAGCTACATACAAAAACGTAGCTCCATACATGCTTGGTTGGGGTGTAAAATGGTACAATCATTCTGAAAAAATTGTTCGGCAGTGTCTAATATTTCTAAGTATTTTATCCAAGAGTAATAAAAATTGCAGGTCCACACAAAGCAGCTTTATTCATAAGAGCCCCCAAACAAACTAGAAACAACACAAATTCCAGTAATAAGACATTTGTGATATATTAGAATATTACTCAATGATTTAAAGGAACAGACTATTGATACACACAGCAATATATTTATACATTGTGGGATAGTCATACGTTTTGTAAATTCATACCTCGGACTACGAAGGAATTAAAAGAAACAGATTATTGATGCAATGACCTGGGTGTAGCTCAAAAACAGGAGGTGTGAGAAAGAAATACTACACAGTGAATGCTTTATAATTCCATTTATATGAAATTTCAGAACAGGCAAAACTAATGTATGGTAATAGAAATGAGAAGAGTGGTTGTCCCTGGACTGAGGATGGAAGGATTGATTTGGGAAAAAGTCTGCAGGAGCTTTTTGGGGTGATGGAAATGTTCTAATTTACTCTTCTTCTTCTTCCTCTTCCTCTTCCTCCTTCTTCTCCTCCTCCTCTTCTTCCTCCTCCTCCTCCTTTCTCCTTCTCCTCCTTTCTCCTTTCTCCTTCTTTCTTCCTTCCCCTTCCCCCTTCCCCAGTCCCCTTCTCCCTCCCCCTTCTCTTCCTGAGACAGAATTCCACTCTGCCGCCCAGACTAGAGTGGAGTGGCGCCATCTGGGCTCACTGCAGCCTCCACCTCCCGGGTTCAAGCCATTCTCCCACCTCAGCCTCCCGAGGAGATGGGACTACGGGCGCCCGCCACCACGCCCGGCTAACTTTTTGTGTTTTTAATAGAGACGGGGTTTCATCATATTGGCCAGGCTGGCCTCAAACTCCTGATTTCAGGTGATCCACCCGCCTTGGCCTCACAAAGTGCTGGGAATACAGGCGCGAACCACCGCACACCGCCGAAATGTTCTAATTCTTTATTGGTGGTTATACAGTTGTCAAAATTTACCAAACTGTCCACCTACGATATATTACAAGCCTGTATTAAATGTAAATTCGAACTCGGTTGAAATCTGTGTGTATAAATATAAATATACACTTATTTACATTTCTAATCTAATCTGAAGGTCTATTGCAACGAATCCCGCTCCGCTCTGACCCAAGAATTCCGCACTTTCTCTCCACCAGTCCTTCAAATACCTGGACTTCATGCCTTCAAGAAGTGGATTCAGGCTTCTTTACAGCACAGTCACCAGCAGGTCATTCCCGTCTAGCTTGCCGATTTCCCACCACTGACACAAACCCTCCCTCAGGGCGTCCCCGTCTGGACTACAGGAGAAAGTTTGGGAGGCAGGTTCAACTTTTCAACTTGGCGGGGAATTCCTCTCCCTCTTACACAGTTTGTAGTGCGGGGGCGGCGGGGTGACAGCCCCAGTGCATGAATCAGCCACCCCTCAGGCTCCGCCCCGGGGGGGTCGGCCGGACGCTCGCCCCGCATAAAGCGGGCACCCGGGCTGCCTGGAGTAGAACGCTGCGCACCTCCTCCCGCCAGGCGCTTTCTCGGACGCCCTTCCCGGCGGGCCGCTCGACCCCCTGCACCATGGACCCCACTCGCCCCCTGGAGCTGTCGATTCTGCTGCTGCTCCTGACGGAGGCTGCACTGGGCGATGCTGCTCAGGAGCCAACAGGTATCTGGCTACTCCGGGAGCCTCTCTCCCCAACCAGCGGAGAGGGCGCAGCGGGTCATGGGGCCCCGTGCACCCGCCCTCCAAGCCTCGCTTTCTTCAGGTCCCTGCCGCGCGCTCCGCGGGCAGGGGGGAACTCGCTCCCAAGTTTGCACTTTCTCTGCAGAGGCCCCTCCGCTCGGAAGGGGACAGAACTCCTCGGGATTCTCCTTCCTCCTAGGAGCTACGCCTGACCACTTTCCCTGTCTTTTGCTCTCCTTTTGCCCCTTCTTCAGGAAATAACGCGGAGATCTGCCTCCTGCCCCTAGACTACGGACCCTGCCGGGCCCTACTTCCCCGTTACTACTACGACAGGTACACGCAGAGATGCCGCCAGTTCTTGTACGGGGGCTGCGAGGGCAACGCCAACAATTTCTACACCTGGGAGGCCTGCGACGAGGCTTGCTGGCGGATAGAAAGTAAGTGCCCCGGCCGCACCCAGGACTCCCGCGCTCCTTGCGCCGGCGGCTGGTAGCAACTTCGCCAGTTTCCCACGTCTCGGTTTCTACTGGAAGTTGTAGTCTGGGTTTTCTCAAATGTTAAGCAAACCTCATGGTTTTCAGTTTCTCAAAAATAATCACAAATTTACAACCACTAATACATTTTCTGTCTCCCAGTTGACATTGATCATAATTCAGTGCCTATGCGGACTCAGGGAAAGACTCGTTCCTTCACCATAGGGTATAATAAATGCAAGAGAATAACGTGTTTAGGTGCAACGTAAGTGCTTCTCTGTGTTTTTCTGTAGTTACAAACCTATGATTTTTATCTCTCCTACAGTACATCATTTCCTCCTGTCGATTGTCCATCAATCTGAAATACTTTTAGTGGATTTTATTATTAAAGTGTGACTTAGCTCATTATATAACTCTACTTTTGTCCCGATACCCAAACATGTGTTGGATTAGTTGCGGGATATGGTGGAGATTCATAATAATGTTATATTTTACTTTATTTTTAATTTTTAGATTATATCTGTTAAGGCCTGTAAGAGAACATGGGGCTTTGCGATTCAAGGAACTGAGCCAGGGGAAAATGCATATTCATTTGAATAAGCTTTGATTAACTGCATATGTACAATCAGAGAACACCCAGAGAAAACAAAGTGTCTTTCTACGGAACATGAAAGATACCTCACAGCTGAGTCAGCTCTGAATACACTCTTTTAGAAAAAAGAAAGAAAAAAGTAAATATCTGGATTCATAGGAGTATTCTGGGGATTTACTATTCCAACACTAATACGACTTCTCTCCCCCCATAAAATGTTGCTGAATATACAGTGAAGTTTTGAAAGTAATAAGAAGGCTACTTTGACTAACATTGTTCTATTACTCTCCTTTTCCTAGAAGTTCCCAAAGTTTGCCGGCTGCAAGTGAGCGTGGACGACCAGTGTGAGGGGTCCACAGAAAAGTATTTCTTTAATCTAAGTTCCATGACATGTGAAAAATTCTCATCTGGTGGGTGTCACCGGAACTGGATTGAGAACAGGTTTCCAGATGAAGTTACTTGTATGGCCTTCTGTGCACCAAAGAAAAGTAAATACGATTTTTATGGTACTTCTATTTCACTTTTCTAAAAAGACATTTGGGTGGAAAAAACTCAATTTGATGCGAAATTAACATGGTGTGCATTCTCATGATTTCACATTACTTGACAAGTTAATGACTTGTCAAACTCTTAGGACTGGAAAGTGACAAAGCCATGATTCAAATTTTTGCTTTCTGCTTCTTCTGATTTGTTGTTGTTGTTGTTTTGTTGTTGTTTTTGAGACGGAGTCTCGCTCTTTCGCCCAGGCTGGAGTGCAGTGGCACAATCTCGACTCTCTGCGACCTCTGCCTCCCGGGTTCAAGCGATTCTCCTGCCTCAGCCTCCTGAGTAGCTGGAACTACAGGTGCCCGCCACCATGCCTAGCTGATTTTTTTTTCTTTCTTTCTTCTTCTTTTTTTTTTTTTTTTGTATTTTTAGTAGATAGGGGGTGTCACCGTGTTAGCCAGGATGGTCTCGATCTCTTGACCTTGTGATCTGTCCGCCTCGGCCTCCAAAAGTGCTGGGATTACAGGTGTGAGCCACCGCGCCCGGCCCTGAATTGTTTCTTTAGAACTATTTCTCATCTACTCAATTTACATATAAAAGATTAAAGTATTCATTAATGAATGTTATGACCTCAGATTTGTACAGAATCAGTTATACATGTGAGATAGTGGAATATATACAGAATTAAGATGGTGAAACTTGAAAATTTATTTATAAAGTTTTCGGTTAGATTTCTGTATTCTTTAGTAATTGCAAATTGCAGCACAAACATCTCTACACTTTCCTGTCCTATCCGTTTGTTACCTCTCCCACCACTACACCTGAATCATTGAAATGATGGTCTCTTGAGTAGTAGTTAATATTTGCAGAGGGAGACAATACAGATATTTCCCCTAGACACAGAGATTTTTGAAAAGTTCAACAAACAAGGAAAACTTGCTTTGGCAGAGAATTTGATGAAGCTTTATGGCTATACTGTGTTGAATATGCAAACTCTTGAGTTAATGTGGTGATGGTTGCTGTGGATGTTCTCTTGTTTGTATAGATATAAATGTTTTGCTCCAGTGGTTACCTGGAAATTAGTATGCATATATTCTTGATTAATAATGGAATGAGAGCTGCTAAAAACATTAAAGCAAAACTACCAACACGACAAAATGTACCAAATCATGCCACATATTGTCCTTGAAACTTACCCCAGTTTTACCTAACCATATCTGGTATTTGGGTTTAACTTCTTTTTACATTTAAAGGATACAAAGATGTAGCTTCAGAAGAAATTCTATCCAGTTTACAAAAATTTAGAATTACCAAAATATAGCATGTAAGCTTACCTGAAATTTGAAGCACATCTTTTTAAAGGTTTAGTATGATATTTTGGATTCAGACTGAGGCTTCTATGGGATGAGATTTTCTTCAGTTACTTCAGTAATCACCATACTTTAAAAATTCTGGTATTATCACATTTCTAATTTTCTTCTCTTTTTTCTAAAGGTCCATCATTTTGCTACAGTCCAAAAGATGAGGGACTGTGCTCTGCCAACGTGACTCGCTATTATTTTAATCCAAGATACAAAACCTGTGATGCTTTCACCTATACTGGCTGTGGAGGGAATGACAATAACTTTGTTAGCAGGGAGGATTGCAGACGTGCCTGTGCAAAAGGTAGTGAATGTTTTCTTATTCTGCCTTTAGATAAACTTTATAAATAACTTATCAGCAAAATTGTATTTTTATTTATCCATTTTACTAACAGCAATTTGCCATTTCTAGACTACTTCTACATAAGTATCTCCACAGTGTTAATCAGTTTTGTCAAAATGCTTTTACTGGCTAGCTGCAGTAGACAGTAGCCGTATTTTCATATCTTAAAGGTAAAATATTATTAACTGAGCGTATAATGAGTTTTGACTTCACAGTCCTTAAAAACAAGATGAAGTGAGCTCAATAACCGTGTCAGAAATAGTGATTTATAGTGAGCCTACAGACTGGAGATGTATGATTTTCACTGTTGTTTTATTGATTGTAGCTTTGAAAAGGAAAAAGAAGATACCAAAGTTTCGCTTTGCCAGTAGAATCCGGAAAATTCGGAAGAAGCAATTTTAAACATTCTTAATATGTCATCTTGTGAATGCTTATTTGCCTTTATGGTTATATGTGAAGAATAATATGACAGCATGAGGAAACAAATCATTAGTGATTTATTCACCAGTTTTTATTGACACAAGTCACTTTTTAAAAAATTTGTATGTTTTTTATACACAGCTAGCTGCTATTCAAATGTGAATCTACCATTTTTAATTTATGGTTCAACTGTTTGTGCGACTGAATTCTTGCAATGCATAAGATATAAAAGCAAATATGACTCACTCATTTCTTGGGATTGTATTCCTGATTTCAGAAGAGGATAATAACTGAAACAACGTAAGACAACATAATCATGTGTTTTTTAAGATATTTGAGAATATAAAGGACTAGCAAATAAAACTCATTTTGCTTTAAAAGTTGGATTATATTTTAGGCCCAAGAAGATGAAGTCGCAGATTTACCAACACTTTAAAAATATTACTCCCATTTTATTGTGTTAGATTGCAGTACAGTGAGTGAATAAGGGGATTTATTTGAAAGATCATAACTTTCTTGACTGATTTAAAAAGCTGATCAATTTATTAAAGCCAGAAATGTTGTCCTCTGGGAAAACAATTTCTATCTATTTATCTACCAATCCCCACTCACATGTATATGTTTGTGTTTACATATAGATAGATGGAAGGATTTTCCTGGTGTTACATTATTTCCTAAGACAGAGTGGGTTGGAGACCACTAAAGTTATAAAAACCAAGGAAAGTAAAGTTTTTCAAATGTTTGTACTGTTTAAGGTGTTTATTTATATAAACCATGCATAAATTTAATAATTTAATTTTAACCAGTAAATTATCATTGATTAAATATGCTCATTCCAATGAAACAGCTTTTTTCTTTCTCTGTAATAAAATAATTTTTCAAAATTCTTACATTTTCATGGCAAGATTAACGTATTTAAAAGTATGCCTCTTATTTGGCAGAATTACAAATGCATTTACCTTTTGCCTGAACAATCTTTCATTTAAAAATTTATCCCAGTTATTTTGACAAATAGGTATATGTCTGAGAACTCTGAATGATGCTGAAAACTAGAAGAAAACCAGGTACTCATCAATTGGGGACTGGTTGAAGATTTTATGGATGAGGAGTTAGCAAAATATCTATATATGTGTATCTTTGGACTCCCAGGATACATAAGAAATACAGGGCCTAGAACAGTATGAATAAACATATATACAAACATCACAGAAGATACTAAAGATATTAAAAATGTTTACCTGTAGAGGGATGGAGGGAACAGAGGGGTGGACAGTTGTGGAGATAATATTTATGTAAATATACCTGTTATATAGTTTTGATCTTGGACCATGTAAGTATTTGACATAATTCATAATCAAAATTAAATAAAAAAGAAAAAGCATTTCCTTAAAACATTCAAACCCAACTGAATACCAAATAGTGGCATAACTACACAAAGGATATATACTTATTTTCAATGACTTCAAAAATTAATATGAGAATGTCATTTGGGAAATATAAAGGTCAACAAATTCTGAAGATATCTCAAAATGCATTTTAAAATTTATTATTACTTTTTATTTGAATAGTTTTGGAGTTACAAGTGGTTTTTTATTACATGGATGAATTATATTGCAGTGAATTCTGAGATTTTAGTGCACTCTGAAGATGCATTTAGTAGTCTCATTGTTATTAGTAATACTGGTGTTATTTTGAACCTATTGTATCTAGAATACTATGCTGTAAGAAAACAAGTAATTACATTTCTTTAGAAGTCAGGATTTTCAGCGTTAAGAGAAAATGAGATACAACTATACAACGAAAGAAATTAAGTAAAAATCTTTGACTTAAATTCGAGTTAGAAATACTCATATAAATTAATAACTGATTTTCTCTATCAAAAAATCTGTATTTCCCACTTTTCCATTGAAAAGTCCTTGAAGTAATGACAACTCAGTAGCAGTAGTTACAATTACCATCCAGACTGTGGTCTCTCCATACTATTACCCACTAAAAAGAACCAGTGCTCTTAGGAGAAGAGCTGAATCCAGGTCTGGGGCAGGAAATATGTAAGATAAGCTTGGGCCATCTTACTGCAGTAATCAAGGAAGCTATCAAAGACTAATGAATCATGTCACAAAAACAGAAGAGTAATATTAAGGAGCTCCCACTAGCCTACAATGAGACAATATGACCATCAAAACAAATAATGACCACAATGTATATAAATACATAGAAATCTGAATTTATGATTATACACACACACTCACCTCCTTCATACCTTTTGGAGGTTTCTAGGGCATTATCTCATTAATTTGAAAACTGATGAATTAACAGAAAGAATAAAGAATTTATCCTTTTTTTTTGTTTATTTTTAAAGACTGTACCACAGGGAAAATAGTATATGGATGTCATTGATATAATTCCACCTAATATATGCATTAAAATGTTAGAAAATACCCCTAACAAAAGTATGAATATAGGTAACCATCATCATTGGGTGCTGAAACCATTGTATGAAAGGGGACAGTCTCATGGGAAATCAGGCTAATGTCTCTGAACTCACAGATCATTCTGACATCCATAATAGTTTAGTCATAGACATTATTTCCTTCCTGATATGATATAATAATAAGTGGACCCTCCCCATCAAGTATTCTTGGAGAAATAAAATACAGTCAACCCAAAGATAGTCAAACCTCTAGATCTCACTATCATATTGCCAGATTGTAGGGAAATACTGGGGATATAGGAACAAATTATAAGAAACCAAGGAAAGTAAATCCTTAATGTTGGATACTCTACAGGACAAATACCCTGGTTTCTCCATACAAGTCAATAAATTTTTTTTTTTGAAAAAACAGCAGAGCAGAGGCAGTGCTTTAAGAAAAAAGATAATAGATAACCATGACAAAAAGCAGTATGCCATTAAAAGTTTGGTTAAGGCCTGAATTTATGACTGTTTTTGGTGGGAATACTTAGAGGAGAAGGATCTCGTGTGTGTTATGGGGATGCAGAGTGAGTGAGTCAGAGCCTTTGAGGATTCTGGGGGCTCCTAGAAACCCCAAAAGGAGCTGGATTTGGTATTTGCTCCCTTTATCTCCCATGTAGCCAAAGCCCTTAAGGGATCATGGATCCAACTCAGCCTACATTTACATCTCTTTGATCAGCATGGATAGGAAGTAGATATTTTGGATGAAATTATTCTAATGCCCTATTACCTCTGCAGTGTTAGTTTAATTAAGAAATATATAAAGCGGTCACAGGACATTCGGCAGTCAAAGGGAAATTCCTTCTTGCCACAATCATTGTGAAGGCAAGTCGTAGCTGTGGTTTCACAGATAGCCTAATTAAAAAGGAATGTCTCATTCTGTGACACAAAAAGTCAAAATAGGAATGGGATGGCTTTTAATAAGACAGTATTTTTAAAATTACCCTGGACTACCACTGATGTGTCCCCTCTGCACACACATTGTCACAATATTTAACCATAGAAACTGCAATGGAGGCCTCCAAATTGCCTGGATCATAGCACCCTCAAGTGTGCATGCTGTCTCCCGCAAAAGTCCTGTTAGGCTTTTAGCCAACAATCTTATCCAGTCAGAGAATATCCTGTGGAGTGTCTGTCCATACATTGTAATAATGTCTGTAGACATTTTAGCTCTGGTGCATCCAGAGATAAATCTCTAGGGTGTCCCCAAGGATCTGACCTAAAATAATCAGCGTAAGAAGGATGTCTCGTCATCCTTCATCAGCCTTCTTATGACCTGATGGACTTATTGTAGTGGCAGGAACTTATCTTTACAAGCTTCAGGTTTCCAGTAAAATTAGGTCCTGTGATAAAAATAAGGAAAAGTAGAAAAGTACAGAGTTGTAGATTTAAAATATCCTTTGTCCCTATATATTGTTATAAACTTAGATATGGAAGCAGGCAAACATGGGTATCAGAATCATCCAAAATTATTTCTTCTCCCTTCATCCACGTAATCAATTGTTCACCAGTTATACCTAAGTAACCCTTTCCTAATCCTTTCTTATGCCGGAAAAATTAAAACACTCTGGAGTTTTTCTTCCAATCTATGTCTGCCTCATATCCAGTCATCTACACTGATGCCAGGGTAATCCTGGAAAGAAAAAAATATGATCAGGTTACTCCTTTGCTTAAAACTCTTCAGTGGTTTCCTCTGGAATCTTCACATACTGTCCAAGCCCCTTGTGTGTCATTTAAGAATTCTTAGGCATGTACCATAACATTCTTTTCCAGATTCATCTCTCATTATCTGTAACCTATAATACAGTTGCACTAAATTATCTGAAGTTTCCAAAGCATGTCATACTGCTTTACTTTTCTGCAATGTGGTTCTGAAATTTTGTGCGTGAGAACCATCTTTAGAGTCAGGTACACAGCAGGCTTTTATGCCCTGTGCCCAGGGGTTTTTACTTAGTGGGTTTGAGCTGGCGCTCAAAGATGCACATTTTAAACAACAACTCCAGACGATTAGGATGTACACTTTACTTTGGACTTTAAGGAACACTTTTTTTAAGCTTTACCATAAGTTTCTTTCTTTGAAAAAAATATCATTCCCTCCTTGCAACTATTTAGCAAGTTGAATCTTCTCCTTGTTGATGAAGTATTCCTTGCCCAACCTGAAGCAGGTTTAATCATTTATCCTACGGGCTTGCCTAAACCTAGAGCAACTTCCTAGTTGTACTACTGCAGTATTTAATTATTTTCCTTGAAGTTTTATTCTTAGGATATCTAAGTCTTTCATGTAAAATTAATGTTATTTTATATTTCAAAATATATTATTAAACTAATTGTATACTGTATAGAAAATTAAATACATAAGGATAAAAATAAAAGCAATGCAGAATTTTACTACCAAGTGATGAATAACTCCATTTCTGTTCTCTTAAGGTGGAAATAACTTAGTAAAGACATATACACATTTTAATGTCCTTAGTTTACACTGAGAAAGTGTATTACAAATTATATCAATCTATCCCCAAATAAAAATGTATGAAAAAGGCCAATACATTAGGTATAAACAGAAAAACATTAATAAATCACTTTTCACTTTAATTAAATGGTATTTTAGTTTATCTTTGTTTTATTTGGTATTTCCAAGATTATTATAAAGGTTGAACTTTTTTAGTTGTGTAAATTTAGGTTGTACAAAATTGTATATTGATATACATATTTGTAGTGAAATGACTACTACAGGTAAGCAACTTTAACATATCCATCACGTTCTGTAGTTGCTAGTTGCTTTTTTCTATCTTTACTTTTTGATAAGAGCACCTAAAATCTACTCTTGAGCAAATTCTCAACATGAAGTATTAATAACTGTAGTCCTCCTGCTGATATTAGATCTCTAGACTTGTTTATCTTAACATAACTACAAGTTGGTACCCTTTAATCAACATTCTCTCATTTTTCTCCCCTTCCCTGTCCCTGGTAACCACTACTCTACTGTTTCTATATATTCAACTTTTTTTCTTTTTCATTCCACACATAAGTGAGATTGTGCAGTATTTTTCTTTCTGTATCTGGCTTATTTCACTTAGTATAGTATCCTCTAGATTCATACTTGTTGTTGCAAATAGCAGTATCTCCTTTTGTAAGACTGAATAATATTTTACTGTATATATGCATGTGTATGTGTATATGTATAAGTGTATGCCTGTGTGTATACATATCTCACAACTTCTTTATCCACTTACTCATGGATGGGCACTTAGATTGTTTTCCTATCTTGGCTATTGTGAATAATGCAGTGAACATGGTAGTGCAGATATGTTTTTGAAGTACTGACTTCAATTCTTCTGTGTATATACCCAGAAGAGATATTTCTCGGTCATATG